GCAATTATGTAAAGTTGTTCAGTGTGACACAATAGCATTCTAATTGGTTAAGTAGCTTAATGATTAGGCAAACTAGATGAAGAGATTAGGAGCTACCTACACTGCATAGAGTACACATGTAGCCGCATATATGCACACAGGTGGGATTCAGTGAACCCCAAAGCCCAAATGCATAGGAACACATATTCTGGCTAGCAGAAACTGTTGTTTATCTTTCTTGCTTTATTTTGAGAGTGTACAGTAAAAGGGATTTTTCAAATTATTTTTATATTATTTTAGTTTTAACTGTGCTGTCCTTCGTGAAACCCAGTGGCTCCACTTTTCTGTCCGAGACAGCAAGAGCTTCGTCAGCATCTTGTTTATTGTGTGGAATTTAAAAAGAATAAAGTTTTATTCCATTCCATGTGAAAAAAAAATATTAAACTTTAGTCTCTGCAAGATGGACAGAAATGAGCAAAAGCTCTGTCTTAATCCCAGGAGGATCAAGATATTAAAATATCATGTAAGGCCACTCATCACACTTCTGTCCCATGATTTTACCTGACCATAAAGCTAGATTAAACAGCTCCGTGGATGTTTTATTTTTCTTTTCAAGGCTCCTCAGCTATCCTGCAGAAATTTGTGGTTAACCCCTTCCTTTCATACGCTATTTGGGGTTTAAGAGACCAGAGCTCCTACATGAAAATTCATGGTCCCTTTTCTCCTGAGAGATCCCCTAGAAAGGAGGAAGGTTTTAGGATTCTGCAATTTGGAAATCTGAATTTCATGCCCCTTAGTGGCTCTGTGACAATAATGACGTCCAACAGAAGCAGATGTCTTGTTTTTGCCCCTGGGTTTAATTGTACCATATACATGTTTGTCGGGCATGAAATCTAAAGAGTTTTGGCAAGATTAATTTCTTGTAAAGAAACTCAGTAATGTTTTCATCAGCCACATTTATTGGGACGAGGTGACTGCTTCACCCATTCAGTTTGTGTTCATTGGCTGTTACGTGAATGTTGAGCAGGTGCCTGTAAGTTTCAGGCAGCCCGTTTTCAGAGTGGGACATGTACTTTCTTCATTTTACATCTTTTAATGTTTAGTAAAGAAATGCTATCAGGGCGTTTGAAAATCTTGGCTGGAAATTACTTCCTCGTGTTAGTAAAGTTAAAGAAAGGTTGGAAATCCTTCTCTCCGGGCTTCCTGTTCCATCGAAATGAGTCTGGTTCAATCAGCTGTCTTTTCATTGTTTCTAACTTTGTAACATATCGATAACCCTCACTTTGTTGGTGTTGATGCTGAGAGGGAGGCTGGCTAGCTTTTGATTTTAATGATTTCTTTTGCCTCGGACCAAATATTCAGGCAGAAGGCCTTGGTGGTGGTAATGGTGCAGGTGTAACCCACATTGGCTTGCTCTTGATGAACCCAAAACAATCGTAAGTAGCTTTCATTCACATATTATTCTGTGGGCTTCCAAAGACCTTCACATAGACTCTCACAAGACAGATAAGGCTTTGCATCTCTGCATCAAAACCCCTTCCTAAAGGGAGGCTCAGTCCCAGGGCATGTCCAGGCCTTCTGGTGCATCCACTCTGTGTCTGCCTTCTTTATACCTTTCTGAGTTTCTGGTTCTTTTTCCCATGTAATAAAAGGCACGTATGTTATTTTTGCTCTATTCCACACATTTTAACTAGATGAATCCTTTGAGTGATTCTTATTTTTTATTTATAAAATTGCATTTTATAAATCAGACCTTAAATGTAAATGACAGGGTTATTTTCATTGTTCATGTACATATTTTAAATAGTGTATTATTAGTGTATTTGGAGTTGGCCATAACCCACTTGCTGCTCCATCACTTTCGGAAAATGACTCTTTCTGATATCATGCATTAATCCAAACATGATTTTGAGACTTTCTAGTAGAACCTGAAGACATGCAGATGAAAACTGCCCAGTGTCTGCTTCCAAGAAAGACCAGAGAGCCAGGCAGGGTGGCACACCCTTGTAATCCCAGCCCTCTGGGAGACCCAAGCAGGAGGATCAAAAACTCAAGCCCAGCCTGACCAGTTTAGCAACTCAGCAAGACCCCATCTCAAAAATAAAACAGTCTGGGATGTAGCTCAGGGCAAAGGCCTTGGGTTCAATCCCTAGGACAGCAAAAACAAAACGCAGTGAGCCTGAGACACAGACCAGTAAAACAGGAGTCGGTGAGGAGGGTGGTTTCATTGGAGAGGCCTCAAGGGGTGCTTAGGAGCTCAAGGAAGAGGGCTGCAGCCAGCGTTAGGATCAGGGCCACAGCGGTGGGCTGGCTGTGCCTCCGAGTTGTGGTTGCCTTCAAACAGCACACGCACATTGTATGTTAGGCAAACAGTGCCTGTTTTATTACGGGTAAGAATTTTGAAATTAATCTAAAAAGGTAAGCCAGTTAACATGGACTGTGGGGGCTTTGCATTTCTTTATTAGAAGGTCCACCTATATTGTTTCCCTTCCTTCCTGTTTAATTGGGTTTCCTAAGGCTGCCAATAATCCAAACGTGTCACTGCTTGGTTCTGAGAGAATCATAAGGAAGTGTGTTTGTATCATCCTGTACTGCATACCCATACCCTTTTTAGTAGTGCTTAACACACATTTTGGTTACTTTTCCCCTTCCTCTCAGATTCCCTTGACTTCCTTCACTTTGCTGATGGAGACTGGCGTTTTTGTTCTTGTGTTACAAGGGTGAACTGAGTCACTGGGCAATCACTTGACTTCTCCCGGTGCTGGGTCCCTGAGGGACCTGGAAAGAGACAGCAGGGCTTCCTCTGTTCAAAGCTCTGGCTTCTGAAGTCTCTCTCCATATCCATGGGCTGGGTTGTCTGCCAAAAATTCACTCTTTCAATCTTTACTGAAAATAACGAGCTTAAGGTCTCATGAAGATAATTGTATTGTTACAGCTTAGGACAGAAGCTCAAGCTATTTGAGTAGATTAAAATGAGTCCTAAATGAGGCTTAATATTTAGTCTAATTAATTGGTTCAGCAACGAGTTTCAGTTTCTCTTTTGGAAAAAGTATGATTGAAATATTCCCAGGACATATCTGAGAACAGTTGAGATCAGTTTTGATTCATTTAAAAATTTTTAAATAAGATGCACAGGTTAAAAATAAAATCAGAATTGACAACATGTGTGTTTCATGCTACTGGCTGATTATGACTTCATAATCAAAAGGTTCTCCTGTAGTCTATTGGTGGAAATAATACTGCTTTGATGTGCTTAGTAATTATTTTTACAAATAATACTCTAATAATAAATAATGACCATTATGTATCTTACACTAAAATATCTTCTTTTTTTTTTTTTTTTGGTCCCGGGGATCAAACTGAGGTCCTTATGCTTGTGAGGCAGATGCTGGAACCACTGAGCTAAATCTCTGGCCCTCAAATATCTTAAGTAATAATATAAATAAATATGAAAAAATAAATGGATATGTATTCCATGGGGAATGTCTAACAGTTGAATCCCATCATACTGATTTTATTGAATATTTTCCTTCTAATTAAAATTCATACATTTTAGGTTATTCATAGAATAAAGCATGTATCATATTTTTATTTTAAATAAGTATTTTATTGATTTATATGAGGAAAATTTTGCATTAATTGGAGTTTTAAAAATTTAAGAGTAGAAGAATGATTTCATTCTACTGTACATAGACTCCCATTTTTATTTACTGCAAATACAGTGATTTGATTTTGGTGTTGTTACCTCAGATCACTTAATTTTTGGTTCCTATTTCAACCAGACTTAATATTTTGTATCAAATACTGCTCATCAAACTCTCACCCTGATACCTTAAGAATTTCAGATAGGGCCAGGGATTTAGCTCAGTGGTTTCGCTGCCTGCTGCGCAAGCACAAGGACCCGAGTTTGATTCCCAGTACTAAAAAAAAAAAAAAAAAATTCAGAGATATAAGCTGAAGTCTACATGTGGCCTGGGGCTCCCACATTTGTGTGTAATTAGACCTGGTGATGGCACAGTAGCCTTCATGGTGCCCACCCTACTGCACTCACTCAGGTCTGGGTGATGGGTTTGAATGGAATGGAGATCCCTGCGCATGATCAGCAGCCAGGCAGTAACTCAGTCTCATCCGTGTGAACGTCACCTGCGGGGACCCTTGCTATTGAACTTCGAGCATCACAGGCATGAAAATAGACACAAGAGAAAAAAGAAGATGCCATCCCTGAGAAGTGAAAGAATACTGACTAAAGCCATTAAATTGTGTACCGATGTGAAAAAATGGGAAAACTCTACAGATGGGTGAATTAGGAATGTAAGGGATAGGGAAGGACGGAAGGATTGAACAGAGCTCGATGAAGTCAACACTGGGTAGCTTCATGGGGCTGTGCCAGGAGAGGGATCTGAGGAGACAGCACTGAGTTTTCAAGATCTGGACCTGGTTCACCATTACTTACTCGCAGCAATTATTCCAAGCAGAAAGGAGGTACATGTAGGGTGTGCATATGTGTGTATTGTGTGTGTTGTATGTTCTCATGGGAGATAAGCTTGCCTATCGGAGTTAGCATAAACCAGAGTCTGACAGTGAAGAAGTAGGTCACACTTCCTTGCGTGGAGACTTCCACTCATTTTGTGCTCCTTTATTCCTGTGGTGTAGGCCAGAGAATGCAGGTGTCGAACCTCTGAGTTTCAATCCTCACCCTGCCATTTTGTCCTTGACCTTATAAAAATTACTGAATTACTCAGGTACCGAACTCATAGACTATTGTGGAGATTAAATAGGTTCATTATGCCCACATATCCTTTAGAACAGTGCTGCAGCTGAGTGCCTGATAGATGATGGCGATCCTTAGTACTAGGGGTGGTGATTTCAACTATGGTCATTCATTCATTCATTCATTCACTCACTCACTCATTCAACTATAGCCCTAACTAGGTTCTTGCTGAGAAGTGGCAGAGCTGTACAGGAAATCCTGCTTTAGAAAGCAAGGAAATAATGTGCATTTGCTTTCTTCTCTCTTCTAGTAGTGGCTCCCTCTCCTCCTGATCATCCTGCCCTGCTCACCGCTGACATCCACAGCTGTGCCCTGAACATTGAATCCTGTACCGGAATCTCACCCACACCTGTCTTGGCATGCGGGGAGAGTCCTACTTTATCGGCATGAGGAGCCTGGGGCCGCCAGGTCATGCCCCCGAGGATGGAGGACTTTTCTTACTCTGCTGTATAGACAGAGACTGGGCCATCACACGGTGCTTTGCTGAAGAAGCCTTTCAAGCGATCACTGACTTCAACGACCTCCCCAATTCCCTGTTCGCATGCAACGTCCACCAGTCTGTGTTTGAAGGAGAGGAGAGCAAAGTAAGCCATCTCTTCTGTCTTGGAGATGTGGGGAGATGTGGTGTCACGGCTGTACAGTTGCCTTGTTCAACTGGGGTTGTTTGGGAGCTTTTGAAAATGTGTGATTGGCTCTGTTATTTCATATGCTGCAGGCTGAGAAAAGCCTGTTTGTGATCAGCCAGCCTTGGAGGTACCCTGATCAGGGTGGGTGCTGAAGTTGTGTTCAGTCAAGTCTGGTTCTCTTCGATCCTTGAGTCAAGCTGACAAAACAAGTGTTGTTAGGAACATGGACTGGAAGGGATGCCCCTTGGACTAGGAAGCAGATGTTTTAAACACTAAAAGTTTTCTTTCCTTGTCTTCTGCCAAAGACATAATTTGGCTTCCTCAAAACAGCACGAACTCTCTTTAACCCCTTCCCTTCCTGCAGTTTGATGCATGTTGTAAAAATGTCTTCTTCGCTTGTGGCACAGGTCCCACTGAGTCACTGAGAAGGGGCAGTGGTGGCCATAGGAGTTCTTTGCTCTCTGATACCATAGGGGTGGCATCGCTGTGTGTGCCCTGCAAGGATGTTAAGAGCAGAGTGACGCCTTGATTTGAAATAACTGAGGAATGAGATTTTCTGTGTATGAACATTTTCTAGGTGCAAAATTTAGAGACAGTATTCTTGGAAATCATAGTAAATATCATTCGGAGATCTTTCTAAAGTTTCCTTGGGATTTCTCTGACCTCTTCAGCAGGCTACTTGACTGGATCCAACCTTCCCTCCTTGGTGGGTGTTTTGTTGTAAATATCCACCACTGTACCATGTCGTAAAACACAGGTAGCCTTGTGGGAGGAGAGGACCCTTTCTCTAAACTAAAGTGCATGGTCTGTGTGAGACATGGAGCAGGGTTTATGATTGCTGTTGTATAAACCTGAGCTCTTTCTGCCAACTTCTGAAGCCTGGGCCTTGTTGACTGAACACCTTTAACTGGAAGTCTGATTTCTGGGCTTTAGTGATTTGCACACAGAGAAAACCATTCCAGAGGATTAGGAAGTTATTTCAAGCCATTGATGGCATAACAATATTATGGTACAGCTGAGCAATTGAAATGATGGGCTGGGAGTAGCTTGGTGTGGAGCCAACTACATGGGATTAGAGCCTCAGGGCTGTGATCCCCAGACCTCTTACAGTAAGAAAGCAGCACACACCAAGAAGAGACAGGAGTTCTGTTCTTGGATTATAACAAATTATGATACATTCAGGGTAAGTAATTTCCTCTAAAGTATTCCTACCAGCCACAAATTATGAAACAAGGGCCCATATTTTCTTGTATCTTTTATTTATCTGAGTATCATGATTGGAAGGATTTTCCTTGGAGAGTTAATGGTGGTTTTAATTCTTTCATAATATAGTACTAGATTGACACAATAAGATTTAGAGTTCTGTGTGGTCATATGTTTTTTAGGAGTGCTGCTGAAGAATAGCTCATCAACTGACTCAGAATTGGGGACACAATTCTGATAGAGGCTGGGGGGCCATTCCTGGGTCTCTGCCCACATTGGTTTTGGTTCTCTGATCTGTCTTGGGTGATGGGTTGCAAAATATTTTCAATAGGTTGGCATACAGAGTTGGTGTATAGCAGTATGAGAAGTAGTATTTGTTTTTAAAATAACCTTAACATAAGATTGAGCTGAAATAAGATATAGTACATTGGGACCAGTGTCAAATTATTGAGATCCCATGTTTATAGCCAAAGAGGTGAATTCTGTAATTGAACAATGTCCGTATCATGAGACATATTAAATCAGATTGAAAGTGTGATCATAGACCTCCATTTGTGTTGCTAGGATACCAAATAAGTGGATGGAGATTCAGCTTTGATTGAATTGTATCTAAACAGCTTAAGGGTGACCATGCAGGGTAATCAGACACCAGGTAAACTGATGATGGTCAGGAGGTTAGGGAGCCGCCCAGCACTGCATTTCCACGGCCACGGGCTTCCTCGATCCAGAACCTCCCAGTCCTCCCTGTAGCTTGGATCTGGAATTACCACCTGCCTCCCTGGGGGCCCATGTGTTGAAAGCTTGCTCCCCAGAGTGGGCTTTCAGGAAGCTGTGGCCCACCAGAGGTCTTTGGGTCATGGGGTGCGCTTGGGGAGGGGACCTTGGGACTCCCAGTCTTCCTAGTCATCTCTTTCCTTCCCAGCCATGAGGTGAAAAGTTTTGCTCCAGCAGGTGCTTCTGCTGTGATGAGCTGTGAGGCCAGTGCAGTGGGCGTTCACAGGCCCAAACCGCCGAAGCTGTGAGGAGAAATCCACCCTCTTTTTGAGAAGTCCACCATGTCAGGTATTTGCTGTGCTGAGATGGGAAAGCTGACTCACACAGATCTCCATTTTTCCACTGTCTCAAAGTCCACATATACCTCATTCTCTCTGAGCTTTCTTTCACAGCATTCAGATTTTATGAATCTGAGGCTGACCTCTGATAACGGTTATCTTGCCCAAAGGGTGGACGTGTCAGGCACTGTGCTAAGTTGGTGGGGAGATATTTTTAGGCAAAGGGGAAAGCAGCAAAAATTCTTCTGTTTGTCTGTGGGCAAGGCCAGCCAGGGTCATTGTCTTTCTGTTTGGCTTTGGGAAGATGCCTTCAGCCACTGGAATGATACCAGGGAGATGAAGCCTGGCATTTATCTTGGCGGTCCAGGTGGGCAGGTGGGAAAAGCTTAACTTGTTTTGCCAGTCTCCTTTGTTTTTGGAAGAATTTACATTTCTTGATATTGGTGAATTTGAATTTAGTCCATTGCTTGCAATTGTAATATAGCATTTAAATTTCTTAGTTGGGTCAAAATGAAAGCTTTGACTTTCTGATTATGCTGGATGATTTGGGCAACAATCTCTTCTGTTTTCTCATGGCTGAGATCCTTTCCCACAGCCTTTTCCTTTCCTGGGTGATTTGGAGGGTGCCGAGTTGGGCTGCTCACGACAAGGGCAGTCCCGTAAGATGTGATCTTCTCATGTGTGTTCCTGCTTATCCATGTGATAAGTATTTTATACACTTGCTTCTGTTGCCCTCCTGAAATTCAAAGCTCTGACACCTGAACTACATTTTTCAAACAGTTTTGCAAGGGCAGTGATGCTCACTCCCACTTCCGGTGAGGCGGAGTTCTGTGCCATCCTATTTTGATGGGATGCTTTTGTGATTATTAGGCGCATGGTGCAGCATGGCTTCTTGTGATCCAGATGGTTGGCATGTGTTTATATAACGCAGAGAAGAACCAGAGCAGGAGGAAATTGGCATCTGAAGCCAATAAGTACAGATTGCTGTTTGCATGCCGCAGCTTGAAATATAAATATTTTTGTAAGAAATACATTTAGAACTTGGAACTTCACAGAATTCCACATCTCGGTGTTACTAGGTTCATTTCCCTTCCTGAGTTTGCCTTTCTGGATCCCTCTGGGCTGCAGAAGTCGTGAAACAGGTGAGGCTGGAGGGAAGCAGCATCCTCCAAGCTGTGTGTGTCTGTACCAAGTGTGGATAAGCGACTGTGTGACAGGGCTCTGAGGAAATGCAGGGAAAGGGCCAACCTGAAGTGAATTCCGCTGAATAAGAGAAGCAGGAAAAGTGATCTAATGGCCTGACAACACAGGAATCCATTTAGTTAAGTAATAGGAGCAGCAGCAGCAGCAATGTACCTATACAGCCTGTGGGGCAGTGCTGGGTGCTTTTCTAAGTGCTTTATACACAGAGTTCCCCATGGCCATGACAGCCCCGTGAGGTGACACATTCCTGCCTCCCTTGCTCCTGGGTTTGGGCCGGATCTTGCGCCTGGGCCCATTCTGTCCCGTGCATATGCACAAGTGGCTTGTGTCAGGCTAAGCATGTAATTACTAATATTGGGCCCTGCTGAATGCTCTTTTCATGCTGCTGGGGAACCTGGCATTGTGCCAACCTTCTGAATGTCTCTAGAAAGTGAGAATTTTTCCATAATTCATTTTGAGACAAAGCCTCATTTGGTGCAATTCATTTAAAGTCTGACCAGAATGGACGGGGAGCTCCTATAGTGTGAATTTCCATTTGATTTTCTGTGGCAATATTCCTGTTTTCAATTACTGGGGTTGCCCCGGACCTCGCGGGGATGTTATATAACAGGAGGCAGATGGGTTCTAGCACATTTCCAAATCTCCAAATTCAAATCCCTAAAGTGTCAGGCCCCAGGGGCCTCCAACAGTGGTTGTGGAGCTGGAAATTGCAGGCAATGAATTTGCAAGCAATGTTCAAAAAGAAGAACGAGATCATTACCAAAGCCTGAAACATCATCAACAAGAGCAATTACATGTATTTTTCCCATAATAGGGTGCTCAGATCTATTTTTTTCAGATTTTAAAACAATTTATTTTTCATTGCCAAATAAAAATTGTCCCTGTTATGTAGAACATGAAGTTTTGAAAGAGATTTACGGTGGAATGGCTAAATGAAACCAACTAATACATATATCGCTTCATGTAATTATTTTGTGCAATAAGAACACTTAAAATTTAACTTCTTAATGATTTTCAAAAAGTGCAATCCATTCTTTTTCATTCTAGTCCCCATGCTGCAGATCTCTTAGACTCCCTCCTCCTATGTAACTGAACTTGTGTATCCTGTGGTCGGCATCTCTTCAAACGAGCCCCTTCCCCAGCCCCTGGTAAGCCCTGTTCCGCTCCCTGCTTCCATAAAGCCAACTGGCAGGTTGCACATGTCAGTGAGACCTGTGGTTGCCTTTCTGTGCCTGAGTTATTTTCCTTACTACCATGTTCTTCAGGTTCATCCATATTGTCACAAATGACAGGATGTCCTTCTTTGTAAAGGCTCATCAGCATTCTATTGGGTAGATTGTTTTTTTAACCCATTCACCAGCTGAGGGATGCGTAGACTGGTCCCATAGTGTGACCCTTGTGAATAATGGTCCAATAAGATGGGAGTAAAGGTATCTCTTTCACATGTTTATCTCATATCTTTTGGCTGTATACCTAGTAGTGGGATTGCTGGATCATATA